AGTTTATTTTTATTTCGTGTGCATTGGTTTCTTGCCTGCATGTATGTCTATATGAGGGTATTAGTACAGTTTTAAGCTGCTATGTGAGTACTGGGAATCGAACCTGGGTCCTCTAGAAGGACCTAGAAGAGGAGCCAGCACTCTTAACCACTGAGCCATCCCTCTCAACCCCCTTAGTTCTCTCAATGATAAACTATGACCTGGGAGTATAAGATGTAAGAAACCTTTTTCTCCCCTAAGTTGTTTTTTGATCAGTGTTTTAGCACAATAACAGGGAGGAATCTAGACCATTGTTCAAAATCCAACATTAATATAAAAGGCAAGTTCTTTTGATTAAAAAGCGGCTTTTTAAAAATTTATTTGTATGTACGTTGATGTTTTGCCTGCATGTATTTCTGTGTGAGGGCGCCAGATTCTCTGAAACTGAAGTTACAGACAGTTGTGAGCTATCATGTGGGTACTAGGAATAGAATCCAGGTCTTCTGGAAGAGCAGTCAGTGCTCTTAACTGCTGAGCCATCTCTCCAGCCCCAAGAAGCAGCTTTCTAAGTTATGATTCAGAAAACTTGTGTAGAATTTGTAGACAGTTCCCTAGCCCCAACCTACCATATGACAATAGACTAAACCTCTGAAACTGTAAGCAAGCCCTAATTAAATGCTTTTTTTGGGGGGGGGGTGAGACAGGGTTTCTCTGTGTAGTTCTGGCTGTCCTGGAACTCACTCTCTAGACCAGGCTGGCCTCGAACTCAGAAATCCACCTGCCTCTGCCTCCCAAGTGCTGGGACTAAAGGCATGTGCCACCACTGCCTGGCTAGATGCTTTCTTTTAGAAGAATTATTGTGGTCATGGTATCTCTTCACAACAATAGGACATTGACTAAGACAGACAATGTGAGGGCTCAAGAAAAGCAATAAAAATGTTTAACAAAGTCATACACTTATAAATCAATAGAACTAGAATACAAATTGGTGGTAAAAAGAGGACCAACTAGCCAGACGGAGGTATTTTCCAAAGTGGAGGAAAGGGGTCAAAAAGTAGATTTTGATGGTGTACAAAGTTTCAAGGTCGAAAAGTGGAATTCTACATTTACAACACGAGACTTGGAGGCTGAAGGGTTGACTTAGTGGTAAAGAGCAGGTGTCACCCTTGCAGAGGACCCAAGTTTGGTGCCCAGCACCCACATAATGACTCACAACTATTCATGACTCTAGTTCCAAGGGATCCTATACTCTCTTCTGACTCCATGGGTACCAAGCACTCACATGGTATACATACATGCATACATACACATATAAATATACATGCAGGCAAAAACTCATACAAAAAAATTTAAATCTAAAAAAATTAAACAGGAGACTTTTGTAATATATAAATTATACCACACCTCTTGGAAACCATTAATTAACTTTCTGTCTGAATGAACTTTATAATTGATATTTCCCATAAATGTACTCTTATTGCCTTTTGGCATATTGCGTCTGGCTCCTTTCATTTAGTATGATGTTATAGAAATGCAGTTGGATAAATAGCTCTATAATTAAGAGTGCTTACTGTTCTTGTAAAAAAAAACCCAGAGTTTTATTTCACATACCCACAAGCAGGTGGCTCACAATAGCTTGTAACTTCAGGTCCAAATGATCCAAAACCCTCTTCTGGCTTTTGCAAACAGACACAGAGACACACACACACACACACACACACACACACACACACACGCACCTTTAAAAGTTCTTCTACCCATCACTTGCTAAGCATTAGATAGCTTCCAAATTTGGGCTGTTATTAATAATGCCACTGTCATCTGTATATAGGTTTTATTTATGTTTTAATTATAGTTGCATATGTTTTCATTTTTGGCTCCCTTTCTCCCTGATTCTATTGAATTTGTAAATCTAAATTCAGCCTCCAACATGTCTACATGAAGCAGAAGGTCATATGGAAGCCATGAAGGTTAATTTGTGTGTGTGTGGGGGGGTGGAGTTGTACTGCTTTTTTTCTTAATCCTCACACTTTATATCCCATCAATGATCCATGCAGGTCACAGACTCTCTACATCCTTACTAATATGTGCTTTACTTTCCCTCAATAATGACAGTCATCCCAGAGATCCCCTAACCAAGCTGGCTAGGGAGACTAGCAATATTGGCAAGTTCTAGGTTTGCGTGAGATGCCCTATTTTAATAAATAAGGTGCAAGAGGAATTGAGAATAATTCCTGATATCAAACTTGGACCTCCCCAGGCACTTCTTCACAGGTGCACACACATCCATACACATGTGCCAAAACACATGTAGTCATGCAACACACACACACACACACACACACGAAAATGGGGAAAATACAATGGAAAAATAGGAAAATTATCCTAAAAAGTGTGCCAGATTGTCACACATGGCTTTCATTTCCATTTTCCTTACAGCTTATGCCACTGAACACCTTTTCATGAGTTTTTATCCATTTATAAGCCTGTGGGAAAATGTTTCTGAAACTTTTAGTTAGTTTTAGTTGGGCTTTTTACTTAATTTCATGTATTCCAAATAATAACCCTAGTATTAAAGATTTTCAAATATTTTCCTTCTACTCTATGAGTTGTCTTTAGATTTCTTCATAGTTTCCTTTGATGACTGGATACTATATTTGATGAAGTGTAACTTGCTTGTGCCTTTGATGTCATATTTACGAAGTTATCACCTTTCCACAGTTTTGGTCTCTAAAAATCAGTCATCAGTAATAAAAACCAAGTCTCTTTGGAGAAATGGGTGATGCCCAGACCAGTTCAAGAAATGTACAAGATCTGCCAGAAGTAAATAATTATCGTTACTTACACACACACACACATCATATGCATACACGGCCTTCATTATGTATCAGAGCAACATAGGAGCCAATGAAAAAGCTCCTGTGCCTGCAGTGACACGAGCAACAGAATAATGTAGTACTGGATTGCATTCACAGTATAAAGTAAATGCCTTGAATGTACACTGTATAACAAATCATTGGATACATTAGTATGAAAGAAGGAACTCTTTTTTTTTGTTTGTTTTTTGTTTTTTGAGACAGGGTTTCTCTGTATAGCCCAGGCTGTCCTGGAACTCACTCTGTAGACCAGGCTGGCCTCAAACTCAGAAATCCGCCTGCCTCTGCCTCCCAAGTGCTGGGACCACCACTGCCTGGTAAGAAGGAACTCTTAATTTGTTTTCTGTTTCAGATGTTACAGCTGGAAATTTGTTCCTCAGCTGGTAGTGCTGTCTGACGAGACTAGGGGTCTTTAGGAGAGGGCCTCAGTGTAGGATACGTTACCCCTGCCTAATTCCTGTTTTGCTCTCTGCTTCATGGTCCACCATGATGAGAACAGCCTCCACCCCAGGCTCCCAGTATGAACTGAGAGTCTCACCACGTCTTCCTTGCCAAGGTGGACTGAATACCTCTGATACTGGGCACCAAATCTTTGTCTCTTGTTTCTGTCTGGTATTGTGGGTGCAGCAATGCAAAGATAACTAAAACCTATGGATTTACCCATCCCTGACATCATCTAACCCTTCTTCACACAATGTTTCAAGGTTCATCTGTGCTGTAGTGTGTAGTAACACTTGTTCTTTTTCTGGCCCCCACCCCCAAGCCTAGCTGCTGCTGTACCACATTTTATTTATTCATCACCCAGGTAATGAGCATTTGGATTGTTTTTTCCTCCTGACTATAGTGACTAGCACCTCTGAGAATAATACAAAATTTCATCTAAGTACCTGTTTCCAATTTTGGCTAGAAAATACAGGCACTAATTTTTAATTCAGGGAAAGAAATGACCAGCCATCTTAAAATCTCTAGCCATCTGACCATTTACTGAGAACCTATGAGCTCCCTGAATGACAAGCCCAGAAAATTACAATTTGAGACAAAAATCACTTTTGATTTCTTTGCACATTGAAGTGGGATAACAGTAAAACTCAGACCTTTTTAAAAATTTTTGTTTGTTTGTTTTGTTTTTTTTCGAGACAGGGTTTCTCTGTGTAGCCCTGGCTGTCCTGGAACTCACTCTGTAGATCAGGCTGGCCACGAACTCAGAAATCCGTCTGCCTCTGCCTCCCAAGTGCTGGGATTAAAGGCGTGCGCCACCACTGCCTGGCTAAACTCAGACTTTTTAACACCTGTATTTGATTATTCCTTTCACATGAAGTGAAAACTGCTTGAGAGAGAGTAAGGGAACCAGCAGGCAAGGGTGGCGTTATGGAGGAGGGCAATGAGGGAGGGGGACAACTTAGAACAAAGTGTAATGACACATACGTGTATATATATACACACATAAACACACATAGGAACCATTACTTTGAATGCTAACTTACAAAATTAATTTTCAGGAGAGTGATGGCTCAGGGAGCATAGGCACTCGCCAGCAAGCCTGACATCTAGTTTGGAGTTTGATTTCCCCAGAAGCTAGGCCTTAACTGAATGTCTCAAAAGAAAAACAACCGCTATCTAAACCTCACCCAGTCCACTCCCGCACTCATCACAACATCACAGTGGGTCTGGGGTTGTTTCTTTGCGCTTGAATGGGCTGTTTTGGTCTCCCGTCCCTGTCACATCTCTTGAAGCTCAAGTCTCTCCAAGCTTCTTGACTGGGTCAGCTCCCAGCTGAGAACGCTTCCTCTCCTCTAGGCACTTAACCTTAGTCTACAGCTCTCCCCCCAGACACGCAAGCCGCTGAAAGGCCCGTGACTTAGGTCACTTTGGTGAAGTGTGGCTGTGCGCAACCCGGCTCCCCTCTGGCGCACAGGGGAGAGAGAACGCAGGCAGCCTCCTAAGAGTTTCTCGTGGTAGCTCCGCCCCAGCCCTGGACCGCCACGCCCACAGGACATAGAGTGGGGCGTGACGTCACAGACACCGGCCGCCCATTGGGTCTCCGTGCGCGCCGTGGCCGAAGGGCGTGTCCATCAGCGCTGATTGGCTGGGGCGCGCAGGCGGGGAGGAGCCGACCGCGGGGCAGGGAGTGCGGCGGCGGCGGTAGCGGCAGCATGGGTCCTCGCCCGCGGCTTCGCTGAACCTCACTGGCCTGGGCTGCCCGCGGCGCCCGCAGCGGCGGCGTCATGAAGGGGGCCCTGGGGAGCCCGGTAGCCGCCGCGGGCGCCGCGATGCAGGAGACGTTCGGCTGCGTCGTGGCAAACCGCTTCCATCAGCTGCTGGACGACGAGTCGGACCCGTTCGACATCCTGCGAGAGGCCGAGCACCGGCGTCAGCAGCAACTGCAGCGCAAGCGTCGCGATGAGGCGGCGGCGGCGGCGGCCAGCGGGGCCGGGCACCGTGGCGGCAGGAGCCCGGCCGTGGCCTCAGGACACAGGCCCGGCGCAGGCGGCCGCAGGGAGTCGCAGAAGGAGCGCAAGAGCCTCCCGGCGTCCGGCGCACAGCAGCCAGACAGCCCTGGGGGCCCGCAGCCGCCAGGTACGCCGTGAGCATCGAGGTCACCCCTCCAGGCGCTAGCTCGGGTCGCGGGGACCGGTCCTGCGTGGGCGAATCAGATTTGAGTGTCCTGATGGCCGCAGGACCCGGGGTCACCCTTCCAGGGGCCACCCTTCAAGATAAAAATCCTCTCGGGGTCACGTTTCCGGAGATTACTTTTGAAGGACCGTGACCCTCTAGGGCCGTCCTCGTGGGTGGTCACTTTCCCCGGTCACCCTGTCTCAGTGGAGGGAACAGGGTTTCACTCTCGGTGGGCTCATCCCAGATGGGTGACAGTGAGCAGAGCCGTGAATCTTGGTGGACAAGAGGGCCTTTGGTCACTCTCCTTTGGGTCCCTATCCACGAGGAGGAGTCGGGAATCACCCTCCTTCGAGGGGGAGAGAGTCGTCCCTATCCACCCATTCCGGGTGGGCCGAGCTGGAGGTTCTTGATGGCCAAAAAGGCATTGTGTGACTCTTCCGGGGTCACCCTTCTGACATTACTGGTTCTGTGGAGGGGCAGGGACTGACGCCTGAGGGTTGCGCAGCTGGGATCCCCACATCTGCAGCTGGCTGCATCCTTCATCCTCCCGGTCGGCCTCTGCGGGAATCAGCTCTGTAGGCGATGCACTGCTGAAACCTTCGGGAATCCCAGACTCTGGGCCTCGAAATTCAGGGAGGCCTGGACTTCCTCAGGTGTGGGAGCCCTGGGAAAGCAGACCTGAGCCCAGGGTGGGCTTGGGGTTCTGGCTCCTCTGTGCCTTAGCCCTTTTCTCCATTTTCATATTGTAGCCTCCTAGTGTTAGCTGACACATCAATTGTAGGTGAAACAAATAGTGTATGTGGGACGTGTGATTTGTGATTGATTGAATAATGTTTTTTCTAGAAGCAGTTTTAACCTTTGCAAGCGGAATGCTCAGAGTTACCCTTTCTGCTTAAACAGAAGGGTCAGCCCTCCGCTGGGTGTACTGTCTGCGTGGGAGGCTGCTTCAGACTTCGTGGCTGTCACCTGAGCTGCGTCAAGGCGTTTACAGCCAAGCTCTCGCCAAATGAATGCCCCGTTTTCCCGTATTAAGTTTACAGCCCTAAGGTTGGCAAGAAAAAGGGTATTGAGATTAGAATGTAGTTTGACCATGACAGATGTTCATGTGGGCATTATTGCCTAGTCCTTACTTGAGAAAAACTGTCCGTTCCACCTCTGGCTTCACAATTGAGGCTTTAGCTGGTACAGCTAAGTAATGTTTACCTTTATCTGTAAAGTTC